GAATTTCCATATGTTGCTGTTGCTGTGCTGAATTTGGAGTTGTTTCTAGTTTGAATTTCAATCTATTGTTGTGTTCATTGAAGGTAAAATCTTAGAAAGTTCAATTTACACGTTGTTGTTGGTTCTAATTTATATATCTTGCAAAAATACTGACAAGTCAACTATTTATGATTATAAATTTTCTGTTATTGACAAGTGAAAAATGTTGATTATAAATTTTCTGTTGTTCTAATTTTTTGTTGCTGACAAGTCTCATAATCATCTTCATAATGATCATTTTTCTTGCTATTTTTAACAACAATCATATTTATTACATTTTTGTGAGGCAACTAATTTGTTATCCATCAAAATCATTTGGATAAAACCCCAAATTGGATATCCTCACTAATCAATCTGCATGCAGAAGGTATTTGTCAAAGCCCATGATGATATACAAAGAATCCCACACAAAAAAAAAAAGTGATGTGAGATTTTCATTCGTGCATTATTATACATTTTGAGCCAAATTGAATGAAATAACCTAATTAAAATTGGAGTAAAATTGTATGGACTAAATAATTAAAATTGAAAATGAAATTTGAGTTAAACTATAAGAATAAAAGTTAATTTATTCTTTAAAAATTTGATGTTTCTTAATTTTGCTTGAAGTCGTGATGACTTATATGCTAAATTTGGACTAAAATCTAATTACAAGAAAGTAAGGTCATTCTTGTAATAATAACTAATCCTTTAAATGGGTAGGTATTTTAGAGATGAGTAACAGTGATGACGAATGTGGAATGATGATCACCATGGTGAAGATACTGAAGATGAAGGCAGCACATTGCAAACCCAATAACATAATAATATGCTCTTAGCTACGGCGGCAACAGTTGCAGTGACATATGTGACAAATTATTTGATAAAAGAACTATGTATGACATTTAGTTTAACATGGGGGAAGTGGATGGTAGAATTACAATAAGGGAATCGGACAAGAATATTTGAAAATTTTCAAATGGAAAGAGAGATATTTTATCAATTGTGTGATTTGTTACAGACAAAGTATGGCCTTGAAACTAGACGAAAAGTCTCGATTCAGGAGCAAGCTGCAATATTTTTGTGTATTGTTGGCGGTGATATTCGAAACAGAAATGTCCAAGAAAGATTTCAACATTCTGGCGAGACTATTTCAAAATACTTCAAGAAGGTGTTAAAAGTTGTTACAATGATGTCTATTGATTGGGTAAAACCTCAACCGAGAAATGGTGTGCATCCATATATTTGAAGCAAGTGCAAACAGTATCCTCATTTCTAGGTAAAAAAATAATTACAAGTGAAACTTGGGTGTTACATATAATAATATTGGTAGGATATTTCTAATAATCTGTGACTAAAAATAATTTTATGAACTATTTTGTAATAGGATTGTATTGGAGCAATTGACGGAACACACATCAAAGCATATATATCTCCAGATAAGCAACCTCGTTTAATAGGTAGAAAGGGGTATGCAACTCAAAACATAATGGCCACATGTGACTTTGATATGTGTTTCACATTTTGTTAACCAGGATGGGAAGGAAGTGCACATGATACTCGGATCTTCTTGGATACAATTAGGAATCCTAGTCATAATTTTCCAAAACCACAAGAAGGTAACTGTTTTATATTTGATTGCTATAGTAGATGCACCACACTCACATCTCCATATTTATTTTTACATTTATAATTGCTTACTTTAATTTCATTTTTTTTTTTAAATAGATGAGTTTTACTTGGTGAATGCTAGGTATCCAAACATGAAAGGATATCTTACACCTTACAAAGAAAAAAAATACCATCTAACTCAATCTGAACATGGTCAACTCCCTCAAAATGCACAAGAAAAAATCAACCAAGCACATTCATCACTTAGAAGTGTAATAGAAAGAACGTTTGGGGTTTGGAAAGCAAGATGGCCGATGATAAAAGATATCCCACCAAACTATAAGTGGCCAACCCAAGTCAAACTTGTTTGTGCAACACTGGCAATTCATAATTTCATCCGATAAAGTGAGTTCCGCGATATTGCATTTGACTCTTATGATAGATTCACGGATTATGTGCCTAATAAAGAGGAAGGATCTTCGTCTCAACAAGCACGCCATGGAAATGATGTTGACTGTGATGGCAATGAGATGGAAGTGAGAAGACATAATATTTGTATGTCAATTTGCAAACGAAATTAGGAGATTTTTAAAGGAAAAATTAGTCTAAGGTCCCTCTCCCATTTTTAGTAATGGAAAAGATTCACAATGTTATTTTTTGATGTCTAAGGTCCCTAAACCCATACCCATATATCATACTAAAGAAATTTGACTCTCCTTAGAAGAAACAAAGCTCTTCTTCGATACCCAACTCTCGAAATCATCAGCCTTAGACTCAGACCCAAAAAAACCCTCATCTCTCCTCTCAAAACCATTACTAAATAAAAACTTCTTCGATGCCCCCCAATCATCAACCTCATCAGCACGAGACGACCCTAATTCTCGGTTCGAATCTCCGTTCCTACGTAGCTCCACCGCGATTTCGAAGACTCGTCGCCATACGATCTGAACCCACCGCCGAGCCTAGACTGGTCGAGCTCCTCGGCGGTTCGCTCGCGTGGACATGTAGGAAACAACATCATATCTACGTTGCCGCCATTGTTTTTTTTTCTCTCTCTCTCTCTGGAATCTCAAACTCTCTCTCTAGAATCTCTCTCTCACTCTCTAATAGCTCTTGCTATTTGAGCTGCGTATGTATATCGGCCATTGGTAGTGTGAAATGTATGAATTTGAGCAATTTATTTTTAGTAACTTTTCAAATCGATAAAAGACGTATTTTCTCTGTGTTTTAGCCTCTGGTCCATAATTTCTCTGGTCCAAAATTTTATCTAGTGAGCACTTTACTTTGGTTGTGTACTATTAGTATATATATATATATATATATTACACTTCTCATTCTTTCTTTTCTATTCAACTGATAAAGATTTGATTGGTAAAGGATTTAGAATTTTTTCTGGTTTTAATTTTCTCTAGTACAAGATTTTGAATTTTCTCTAATAAGGGATTTGAATTTTCTCTAGTTCTACAGAGAAATGATTCTACAAAAGCAAATAATTTTGTTCAGGGAAATTTCAATTTTATATGGAGAGAAGGGAAATTTCTTTAGAGAAGAGGGAAGGCCAGAGAAATTCTCTAGAGAGTGGGTCAGAAAAATTTAAAAGTTTAGAAAAATTTTGTTTCTTGGTTGTACTTAGTTCTCTGGTACAAGATTTTGAATTTTCTCTGGTAAAGGATTTGAATTTTCTCTGGTTTCACAGAGAAATGATTCTACAGAAGCAAATAATTTTATTCATAGAAATTTCAATTTTCTCTAGAGAGAAGGGAAATTTCTCTGGAGAGGAGAGAATGTCAGAGATTCTCTGGAGAGTGGGTCAAAGAAATTTGAAAGCTCAAAGAAATTTTGTTTCTTGGTTGTACTAAGTGTAATAATTTTGTGCATGATCTGTCTGGTGTGCACATTTCTCTTTGCATCAGTGTTGGTGGTGGTGTTGCTGTTTTGCCTTTTTTTTTTTTTTTTTTTTTGGAGTTAAAAACTATAGATGTTAGTTCTTTACATAATCTGGAAATTTCTCTAGAGAGAAACAGAGAATTTCTCTGGGTTGGAGAAAATTTCTCTGGTCCAGAATTTCTCTGGTCTAGAATTTCTCTAGATAGAATTTCTCTGAGAAGTCTAGAGAAATTCTCTGGATGAAATTTCTCTGGATCAAATTGAGAGACCTTAGACATTATGAAAATATTAGATGTCCTTCATGCTATAAGATCTTAATACTAGGGACCCTAGAAAAAACCCATTTTTAAATATCTAAGAAGTTTTATTTTTATTGCCTTAATAGTAATTTATTGTATTTTTATTATAATGACATTTTTTTTTGTTCCCTTGTCAACTCAATATATTAAAAATAAATAAAAAAATAAATTTGAGGTAATTTAAAAATGTACCAAATTAGGTAATAATTAATCAACTTCCATTAATGAAATAACTTTTCCAAAATTTAAAGAGAAGAAAATAACAAAATTATAATTTTTCTATTCATAAGAGCAAAAATGACAATTACACAACAAAAAATTATTTTATAGTTTATTTACCAAATACTACTCTGCTGCTTAAATCTATAATCCCACAGCTACACCAAACAAGTTACCAACTTATACTCACAACTATAAGTCATAATCTATAATCACTTTCTTAGACACCTTTGGCATCTTGCGTTAGATTCAAGCTAGTTTCTTTTTTTTTTATATATGTTACAGATTTCTTTAGATTTCTCCTATGAAAATTTAAAATTAAAAAAAAAAAAAAGTGTTTACAAAAATATAATATATACGTTTTTTAATTTTTACATTTAACACATTCCAGTGCTTCACGCTCTTACCAAACACACAATGTAACACTTCCACTGGAATTGGATCTACTTTTTCACTAAATTAACAAACACTTAACACACGAAATTGGAGCTCACTTAACACGCGAAATTAAAACTCACTTTTATTATTTTTTTGTCATATAATATACTTTAATAAATATTTTAAACATATTCATTAGAGATACTATGATCATAAGACCTTTATAATCTTAAAACTTAGAATTTTAAAATATGTATTCAAAAGTTAAACATAAGCAGAGAAACACATCATGAATACATACACATTATACATTGTATGATATTTTTAAAGAAATGTTGTCAATTATATAGAAACGTACCTAGAATTAAATAAGATTTAAAAATATTTCTATCATCCATGTGAGATATTAAAAATATTCCTTTATTAGCAAACGTAAATTTCTTTATTGCTCAAAACATTGTAAAAGATAATTCAAATATCAGACAAAAATCCTACACCGTCATCTTTGTTCGCTATCCTTGTTCTATAAAAATAGAGAGTAAAAAATCCATATAACATAGATGATAACAACCATCGAGCATGATGAACTCAATCCAAAAACAATCATAAATCTTTCCAAAAGAACATAGCAATCGTTACATCAGAATTCTCACAGTGAGCTTTATTTTGGCTTTGGCTAAATAAACCAAAAACAAAAGATAAATTCAAATAAAAATTCTAAAAATGTAAACTTTCCCACTAAAATAAAAATAAAAAAATTAACAATTACCAAATACATCAATTTTTTTATATTCTAAAACAACAAAAAAGCACTTGTCAAACCCCACCAGAAACAGCTATTAAACAACCCATAGGAATGGGATCAAACACAGAAACAATAAACCTCGAAAATGGTTTCCAGTTAACAAGATGAAAATCCACTCGAGTTCATCAATGAAGCACATTCTCAAATCCCTAAAAAGAAGAAGAAAAAAGAGTAATGAAAATTAAGAAATTGGAAAATTTATGAATAAATACAAAGAAAAGCAGTGTATGCCACAACTCCATACACATAATTCGTACAACATTAGGGTTTTATTTTTAAATGGAAAATGGGAGGGGGAGAAATTATTTATACACACACCTATTGCTCAAGAGGAATCCACTCTAGTTCTAGTTCTAATTCTCCAGATTCCACATTCTGAAGCTTCAATGACACATCCTGTTTCACCTTGCCATCGATTATGTTGACGGTGCTATCCTCTTTGAGGGCATTGTCATTTGATTTCAGCCATTTCCCAATCTGCATGTTTCCAAACATTCCAGCATCTCCAAATGCCATTGCAGAGGTTATCATTGGTTGGATATCGATCTCAGCTTGTCCCATAATATCATCGGCTGAAAATGTGTCGTGATCATATACTTCCTGCAGCAAGGAAAGATCCAAAAGCTAGATGAAACATTATGATCATAGCATTTTTAAGGTTTAAAAAAATTGATTTATTGATCAAGGGATTTGTATGCTTCAAAAACCAGAAAGATTAAATTTATTTATTTATGTATTTGATAAACATGAAATTGTTCATTCATTCATTCATCTATATTTTATCAATTTAAAATGCAAAAAATGAGCTTGAAACTAAATCTACTCAAAAGAACATAACGATTACATGACATACAAACCCTGGAATTGTTAGAAAGAACAAATATATATATATATATATATAGAGAGAGAGAGAGAGAGCTTCCAAGTTAACGCAGAAGTGCAATCTGGAATCATTTACAGCAGTAATGTGAGGAAGTCAATCTGTGTGATTGTTTTATTTTAATGGAACTGTTTTCTACACAACAAATTTTTCGTTTTTTTAGGGTAAGGTGACCAGAAATTTTGTGACTGTCCATCAAATACAGCTTCAATTTTAAGGCCGAGGCAAGCCACTAGACACAGTGGATGAGGATGAGCATTGTGATGGTCTTGTCATAATTTTCTTTTGGTTTCTAGGAGGCGGCTTTAGGGATTTTTGTAAGGTAGACATATTTTTATTATCAATCAATAGAAAATAAATTGCAATATTATGAGAATTGCATCAAATTGAAAATTCAACATACAACCATAAATGTACAACAAATCCAACAAACATAAGAAATACCTAAAACAAATACAAGGGACATAATGATGGACAAAATCGAACCTCTAACCTTTTAGTGATATGCATGGACTCATGGCCAACCCAGCTAACTTCGTATATATAAAAAAATAAAAAATGAGGTTTAGGGTGTTCAAAATATTTTACAATAGTGCAAATACCTTCCAACAACATATACTATTATTAGTATTAATATTTTGTCAGGGTATTCAATTGAATACCATCAGTTATTTGTGCCGCTGCCCCTGCTGGTTTCTCAACAATAAGAGCAAACACTAAGAATGTGGGTACAATTTTTGCACATACTTCAGGGTACTGTTTGAAACCAGGTAGCATGCCACGTCTTATCATTGGTGAAGCATTGAAGCATCAAAGACATTGTAATTATTATAAAAGAAAAGGGAAAAGGAAAGAAGGAAAAATGACTTATAATAATGAAGATTTCCTTGAAAAGATAGGCTTACCAGTTTTACGGGCCCAAAGTTCTGAGGAACAGAAAGCATGAGTTCCTCATTCCATACTGGATTCAAGTTGCTTTTTATTATGCTTGGAGAAAAACAGTTCATGTAACTGATCCCACTTGACTGAGACACAAGGCTTAGCTTAGTTTAATTTGGTTTAGTTTACTTTTAAATTTTTATTCCTTCAGTTTTATTTTTTGGCAATGTGCTAAAATTCAGAATTGGAATCTCAACATATAAGCAAGATTTACAGGTATGAACTGTAGACCTTGTCCATGCCCATAAGGTTCAGCCTTGAGGATAAAACAAAAGTGAGAGTCACTGCCCTGTTGTCCAAGAGTTAGGACAACGTAAGGATCACTTGACAGCATATCTCTAACTGCTAAGTTTATGCCTTTTAATACTTTGACCTTCAACATTCCAATAAATTCCACCATGCCTTCCTGTCATCAGTTTCAACATAAGCTTTGGTTATTTAAACCATATTGTGTTGATTATGTTGCAAAAATTCACTGATACAGTTGAACGTCAGTGCGGGTTGGTTGACTTGTATACCTAATTATATGTAGTGTGAGGTGGGTGGTAGTGTTAAAAAAGTAGCAAAAGAGATTCTTGATGAATTTAAAGGAAGTGGGCCACCATCTAAAAAACTAGTTGGTGGAAAGAACTTCATAATATTCTCCTAAGTAAGCAAAATAAAATAAAATAAAAATTTCTTACAAAACTTTCCAAACATGTTGGAATAATGAAAGTTTTGAAAGATACAAAATAGAAAAACTAAAGCTAAGCGAGCAGTTACAAGAACAGTTAGACAAGTAACTTAGAAAACTAAGCAAGCAGTTGATTTCAATGAATCCTTTATTTATAGGAAATAAAACACTCCAGGAGAGAGGCTCTGGCCGGGTAGCACCATCATTGTCAATATAGACGAAGAGCAAAGGCAGCTTGAAGTCATAATTGGATTTACAATGAATAATTATGCAGTGCAGTGATTCACTGATATATCTACTGGTTGGATCATTAATGCTTCCGTTATTGTTCTCTTTTCTTTTTTATTTTCTCCTTCAAAAGTTCATCCATTCAAGTATTCACTTTTATACAAGTACCTTTCATAAGATACACATGCTGCTACTGTAATGGTTTTACTTTGCTCCTCAGCTTATGTGATTGTTTCAAACACTTCAAGTGTCACAAAACAGTAAAATACATCTCCTTAACAGATTAATATTGTGAAGTTATTTGTAGTCAAAATTTGATGGCTGATTTTTGTAGAATAGAAAGTTCACATATAATGAAATAAGTCATTCCACTGTCACACGAGATGAATGTATATGTTACCAAACCAAGCCTTAAGTTCCATCAAATGAGGTCGGCTACATGAATCCTTCGTCTCCACGCGGCTCTATCAAAGGCTATTTCATTAGTCAAATTAAGTCAATCCATATCTCTATTTACAACGCTAGCCAATGTTAATCTAGGCCTATCCGGTCCCCTAACACTTCCATCTACCGTCACTGCATTGCATCTCTTCACTACTGCCTCTGTTGGTCTCCGTTGAATATGACCAAACCATCTCAATCGATTTTCTCTCAACTTATCTTCTATTGATGCTACTCCTACCCATTCCCAAATACACTCATTCCTAATTCTGTCTTGTCTAGTCTTGCCACACATTTTAGGTGCTGATGATTCATTTTTTTATACCTGTTAAGATGTGGTGACCCATATTACTAGAGGTTATTTTGGTATATTCATCTTCTTTAATGGTGCCATATTTATTTTATTCAAATGAGGGTAAAATGGTCAATTTATAAGGCAATGTAGCCAACCATTAACATTCTCAAACTGCAGTTAACAATAGGGGAGGGCCTGCAAATTTTTAAAACAAGGAGCTCCTGCTACCTGAAGGCTAAACCTCAAGAAAGGTTGGTGCAATTTAGCCAAGAAAACAAACAAACTGACCAGAACCAATAAATTAATAAGACCTAGAATATATTTGCAGGAGAAATACTTGAAACAGCAAGGGCTATAGTATGCATTTGATCTAAATACTCAGCATACATTGCTAAATTAGGCATCAACCATGTTTATCAAACTTCATTCCCACAATTTGAATTAAAAGAGGTCAAAAAAATTACCAATTTCTGTGATGAACTTGAACTAAAAGTATCCATAATCTTTCTGGATAAACTTGCTTTGAGAGAGTTCTTCTTGGAATTGGAAGGAATTGACGAGATCCGCAAGCTAGGTTTCAAAAATTCTTGCAGTTCATACTTAGATCTACAAAACAGAATAAAATAAAATAAAATAAAAAATGAAATGGTACAAATACCAATATCAAGACCCTGTCTACGACCCATAGATCATCGGCCAAATGACACTAACCATTCATGAATTCAAATTCCATTTCTGGTTATGCAATCATCACAATCAAGTCCAAGATTTGAAGAGGACGGAATTTAAATAGGAAACACAAGACAGTTTATCTAGTTGATTGAAAGGCAAGTACAAAATGTCTAGTTACATTGACCAGTATGAATATCAAGTCAATATTTAGCCAGCTGAGGACAAACTAATGAAGTTTGAATCAAGTGGGAGATGAAGAATTCAGAAATTTGAAGATAACCACGAGCATTAGGACAATACACGGCTAAAAATACCTTTAAATTTTCATCTAACCTGATAAACTTTGCACGCTCCTCATGACCAGACTCTGGCCCGGGTTTAGTGTATCCTTGAGGAATAAAAGCCTCATAGATGGAATTAGCAGAAGCATTTCCTCCAACCTCAATCATTGCATCAATTTCATCATCAGACCACTCATCTAATGTCACAGACAACACCTGCACAGTTGAAGTTAATGTTGCTCAGAGAATTACATTCAACCTTGTATTCAATTCCCACTTCATTCTATATTCCAACATACCAAACATACCATCAGAGCATATAATTTCCAAGTGACTATTGTAGTCCAGAATCATTTATTTTTTAATTTTTGAGAGAGTTGTTGAGTCTAAGGCATTTAGACTTAGTGTTCTACATGTTCATCGATTGAGCTAGGTGCTCGGAGGATCGTGTTAGCGCGGTTTCTAACATGGACTAATGGAGATTTGGAGGTACGTAGAAGATTGGACAGGCATGGATAGTAGATTAGACTACAGAATTGCTCGGTATTAAAGTAGGTAGGATCTCTGTGTGTGTGCGGTTGCTTATCTTTATCTGCATAGTTTAATTGCTTAATTAAATTGGTAAAACCCGGTAAATCTGCTGAATTAAAAGACTCATATTCAACTTGAACTGAAAAATAATATAGGCTATTCTGCACACCTCGACTGAAAAACTATTTTTAAAAATTTGTCACCTCAAACAGACATATTTCCATAATAAAAATAAATAAATAATCATACATGTTCCTATGCATAAAGAACAACTTGAGAAGTGTTCCTGTCAATAATTCTTTATTTTTCTCTAGAGAGGGCAGAAGAGGAATCTGAGCAGAGCAGAGCAATTACCTTCGAGATATGGGTACCAAGGCTTCTGTGTACACCACAACATTTTAAGCATATAAACACCCCAATATTGGCTGACCTGAAAATGCAATGTACAACTGATTCTTAAACATTCATATAAAATATATATACAAGCCAAAGCATATTCTCTATGCATATCACTTCATGTCAAATCCTTTTGCTCAAAACCAGGGAAAGATATGTTTGAGACACCAACAGATGTGACATATAGCGCCAATATCTATCCTGAGAGGGTGGTGTCTGGCTCTGTGATTGGCTTTTGTGCAAGTAGAAGAACTGCTTATTGAATAACGTAAAAAAGAGGCTCAATCACAAGCCCTGATGCCTGTTTGAATGCAATTTCACTTGCATCACCTCCTATAGCTTTTATGCTGATCTCAACTACATCAAATGTTTCCTTTACTTTTTATTTTATTTATAAAAAATAATAAATAAATAAATAAACAAACAAACTTTTTCAGCAACAATAAATGTTCTTGGTTACATTGATGCATCGATGATTATTGAACTCAATTATATGTTTCTCCCAAGTCAGAAACCTCGCAAGGAAATCTATCTTCCTTCTGCATCACTCCATTAGTTTCCAAATAAGAAAATGTCTTCTATGGCCAATCTCCTAACCAGTTCCCAATAGCCTTTTTTCAGGTTACACTTGCTGCTCGATCAGTCCATTTAATAAGACCTAGAATATATTTGCAGGAGAAATACTTGAAACAGCAAGGGCTATAGTATGCATTTGATCTAAATACTCAGCATACATTGCTAAATTAGGCATCAACCATGTTTATCAAACTTCATTCCCACAATTTGAATTAAAAGAGGTCAAAAAAATTACCAATTTCTGTGATGAACTTGAACTAAAAGTATCCATAATCTTTCTGGATAAACTTGCTTTGAGAGAGTTCTTCTTGGAATTGGAAGGAATTGACGAGATCCGCAAGCTAGGTTTCAAAAATTCTTGCAGTTCATACTTAGATCTACAAAACAGAATAAAATAAAATAAAATAAAAAATGAAATGGTACAAATACCAATATCAAGACCCTGTCTACGACCCATAGATCATCGGCCAAATGACACTAACCATTCATGAATTCAAATTCCATTTCTGGTTATGCAATCATCACAATCAAGTCCAAGATTTGAAGAGGACGGAATTTAAATAGGAAACACAAGACAGTTTATCTAGTTGATTGAAAGGCAAGTACAAAATGTCTAGTTACATTGACCAGTATGAATATCAAGTCAATATTTAACCAGCTGGTGACAAACTAATGAAGTTTGAATCAAGTGGGAGATGAAGAATTCAGAAATTTGAAGATAACCACGAGCATTAGGACAATACAAGGCTAAAAATACCTTTAAATTTTCATCTAACCTGATAAACTTTGCACGCTCCTCATGACCAGACTCTGGCCCGGGTTTAGTGTATCCTTGAGGAATAAAAGCCTCATAGATGGAATTAGCAGAAGCATTTCCTCCAACCTCAATCATTGCATCAATTTCATCATCAGACCACTCATCTAATGTCACAGACAACACCTGCACAGTTGAAGTTAATGTTGCTCAGAGAATTACATTCAACCTTGTATTCAATTCCCACTTCATTCTATATTCCAACATACCAAACATACCATCAGAGCATATAATTTCCAAGTGACTATTGTAGTCCAGAATCATTTATTTTTTAATTTTTGAGAGAGTTGTTGAGTCTAAGGCATTTAGACTTAGTGTTCTACATGTTCATCGATTGAGCTAGGTGCTCGGAGGATCGTGTTAGCGCGGTTTCTAACATGGACTAATGGAGATTTGGAGGTACGTAGAAGATTGGACAGGCATGGATAGTAGATTAGACTACAGAATTGCTCGGTATTAAAGTAGGTAGGATCTCTGTGTGTGTGCGGTTGCTTATCTTTATCTGCATAGTTTAATTGCTTAATTAAATTGGTAAAACCCGGTAAATCTGCTGAATTAAAAGACTCATATTCAACTTGAACTGAAAAATAATATAGGCTATTCTGCACACCTCGACTGAAAAACTATTTTTAAAAATTTGTCACCTCAAACAGACATATTTCCATAATAAAAATAAATAAATAATCATACATGTTCCTATGCATAAAGAACAACTTGAGAAGTGTTCCTGTCAATAATTCTTTATTTTTCTCTAGAGAGGGCAGAAGAGGAATCTGAGCAGAGCAGAGCAATTACCTTCGAGATATGGGTACCAAGGCTTCTGTGTACACCACAACATTTTAAGCATATAAACACCCCAATATTGGCTGACCTGAAAATGCAATGTACAACTGATTCTTAAACATTCATATAAAATATATATACAAGCCAAAGCATATTCTCTATGCATATCACTTCATGTCAAATCCTTTTGCTCAAAACCAGGGAAAGATATGTTTGAGACACCAACAGATGTGACATATAGCGCCAATATCTATCCTGAGAGGGTGGTGTCTGGCTCTGTGATTGGCTTCTGTGCAAGTAGAAGAACTGCTTATTGAATAACGTAAAAAAGAGGCTCAATCACAAGCCCTGATGCCTGTTTGAATGCAATTTCACTTGCATCACCTCCTATAGCTTTTATGCTGATCTCAACTACATCAAATGTTTCCTTTACTTTTTATTTTATTTATAAAAAATAATAAATAAATAAATAAACAAACAAACTTTTTCAGCAACAATAAATGTTCTTGGTTACATTGATGCATCGATGATTATTGAACTCAATTATATGTTTCTCCCAAGTCAGAAACCTCGCAAGGAAATCTATCTTCCTTCTGCATCACTCCATTAGTTTCCAAATAAGAAAATGTCTTCTATGGCCAATCTCCTAACCAGTTCCCAATAGCCTTTTTTCAGGTTACACTTGCTGCTCGATCAGTCCATTACAAAGTAGTATACCAATTTCTGTGATGAACTTGAACTAAAAGTATCCATAATCTTTCTGGATAAACTTGCTTTGAGAGAGTTCTTCTTGGAATTGGAAGGAATTGACGAGATCCGCAAGCTAGGTTTCAAAAATTCTTGCAGTTCATACTTAGATCTACAAAACAGAATAAAATAAAATAAAATAAAAAATGAAATGGTACAAATACCAATATCAAGACCCTGTCTACGACCCATAGATCATCGGCCAAATGACACTAACCATTCATGAATTCAAATTCCATTTCTGGTTATGCAATCATCACAATCAAGTCCAAGATTTGAAGAGGACGGAATTTAAATAGGAAACACAAGACAGTTTATCTAGTTGATTGAAAGGCAAGTACAAAATGTCTAGTTACATTGACCAGTATGAATATCAAGTCAATATTTAGCCAGCTGAGGACAAACTAATGAAGTTTGAATCAAGTGGGAGATGAAGAATTCAGAAATTTGAAGATAACCACGAGCATTAGGACAATACACGGCTAAAAATACCTTTAAATTTTCATCTAACCTGATAAACTTTGCACGCTCCTCATGACCAGACTCTGGCCCGGGTTTAGTGTATCCTTGAGGAATAAAAGCCTCATAGATGGAATTAGCTGAAGCATTTCCTCCAACCTCAATCATTGCATCAATTTCATCATCAGACCACTCATCTAATGTCACAGACAACACCTGCACAGTTGAAGTTAATGTTGCTCAGAGAATTACATTCAACCTTGTATTCAATTCCCACTTCATTCTATATTCCAACATACCAAACATACCTATAATATACTTTAATAAATATTTTAAACTTATTCATTAGAGATACTATGATCATAAGACCTTTATAATCTTAAAACTTAGAAATTTAAAATATGTATTCAAAAGTTAAACATAAGCAGAGAAATACATCATGAATACATACACATTATACATTGTATGATATTTTTAAAGAAATGTTGTCAATTATATAGAAACATACCTAGAATTAAATAAGATTTAAAAATATTTCTATCATCCATGTGAGATATTAAAAATATTCCTTTATTAGCAAACGTAAATTTCTTTATTGCTCAAAACATTGTAAAAGATAATTCAAATATCAGACAAAAATCCTACACCGTCATCTTTGTTCGCTATCCTTGTTCTACAAAAATAGAGAGTAAAAAATCCATATAACATAGATGATAACAACCATCGAGCATGATGAACTCAATCCAAAAACAATCATAAATCTTTCCAAAAGAACATAACAATCGTTACATCAGAATTCTCACAATGAGCTTTATTTTGGCTTTGGCTAAATAAACCAAAAACAAAAGATAAATTCAAATAAAAATTCTAAAAATGTAAACTTTCCCACTAAAATAAAAATAAAAAAATTAACAATTACCAAATACATCAATTTTTTTATATTCTAAAACAACAAAAAAGCACTTGTCATACCCCACTAGAAACAGCTATTAAACAACCCATAGGAATGGGATCAAACACAGAAACAATTAACCTCAAAAATGGTTTCCAGTTAACAAGATGAAAATCCACTCGAGTTCATCAATGAAGCACATTCTCAAATCCCTAAAAAGAAGAAGAAAAAAGAGTAATGAAAATTAAGAAATTGGAAAATTTATGAATAAATACAAAGAAAAGCAGTGTATGCCACAACTCCATACACATAATTCGTACAACATTAGGGTTTTATTTTTAAATGGAAAATGGGAGGGGGAGAAATTATTTATATACACACCTATTGCTCAAGAGGAATCCACTCTAGTTCTAGTTCTAATTCTCCAGATTCCACATTCTGAAGCTTCAATGACACATCCTGTTTCACCTTGCCATCGATTATGTTGACGGTGCTATCCTCTTTGAGGGCATTGTCATTTGATTTCAGCCATTTCCCAATCTGCATGTTTCCAAACATTCCAGCATCTCCAAATGCCATTGCAGAGGTTATCATTGGTTGGGCGATAGTTTGAAATGCACAAAACAGTGCGATGCGCAGAACAGCGCGAGGTTTGAAATGCACAAAACAGTATA